AAAAAAAAAAAAAAACCCTTTCATTCCAGTTAATCAAAAAGGAAAAGAAACTTAAATAATTATGAACTCATGGGAAACTTTTAAATGAAGAGTTCATGATGCACTTTATAATATGTCATCAATTATAACAATTTCATCTTAAGATGGTTGTTGTATAAGCTTCAATATCATATTGAAGTTTCTGTCAAAGTCTTGAAACATCGTAGTCAACTTGTTTGATCGCCACATCTACAGTGCAAAGAAAAAGAAGGCAACCACTAAAAGATAGATATTTGGGAATACTTAAAGATGTTTGCCAGCAAAATCATTGCTTATAGTTAATGAGAAAGTCATTCCATTTAAGGTGGCTATGCTTTGTGATATAAATTATCAGAATTCCTTAAAATGGGTTACATGCTTTAAGCTCACACAGTGGATTATCATCTTAATTTTTATGGAAGAAAAATGATTATCCAATATGAAGCAGTAACTGCCTCAAAATTGCATGAAGAGCAGTAAAAGTCTCAAAGTTCTATCTCGAGAAGAATATAGCTATTTAGAAGAGCAGTAACAATCTTAAAGCACCTTAGCTAACTCGATATCAATAACTCCTTAATTGGAGACCTATTTAAAGAAGTTTATACGGAACTTACACCTGGATAAACCAAACATGGGAGTCATCTCAATCCTATCATTAATCTATTTGTTTCTTACAAAAGTTCAAATACAACCTCAAACATGCTTAACGATAATGGTACTCTAAATTTTCTAAGGCGGACTATTTTCTTTTTATCAAAGGGATTAAATCAAATTTTCTCACCTTTTTAGTTTATCTCGATGGCATAATCATTATAAGCCCATCAAGAGATAAAATTCACTCTCTTCGAACCTTCCTCCTCCAACAATTCCACCTAGCTGGTTTAGGTGACGTAAAGTATTTTTTAGGCCTTGAAATTGCTCACTCCTCCACCATCATCTTTCTTTCACAACATCAATACACTCTTTAAGAATTAGAATACACTGGCATACTCAGTTGTAAGCCCTCTAAACTCCCTATGACCACCAACAATAGTATCCATATATTAAAAGGAGATTTAACTCCTGATGCTTTTTGGAGTATCGATGTTTAATTTTTCAACTTTTATACCTCACTTTATCTTATCCTAACATCACCTTTGTCATTAATAAGTTGAGCTATTTCTTATCTCAATCTCATACATCACATATGGAAGCCACACACCAACTACTCCTCCACCTCAAATACACCCTCGACCAAGATATTTTCTTTTCAACTTCATCTAATCTCCAACTAAAAGCTTTATGTGATGCAAATTAGGGATCATGTCTTAACACGTGGCATCCCATTAGTGGCTTATATATATTTCTCAGTGACTCCCTCAAGCCTTGGAAATATAAGAAATAATATGTTGTATCAAAATCCTCTGCCAAAGCTGAATATCAATCTTTGGTTGCCAAAATTAGAAAATTAATCTGGCTCACACAATTATAACATGACTTCTATATATCACCTACTATCCCAGCTCTTATATTCATATCACCTACTATCCCAGCTCTCATATTCTTTAACAATCAGGCTGCCATCCATATTGCTACAAATCTTACTTTACATGAATTTACAAAACACATTGAGATAGATTGTCATTTTTGAAAGTTCAATTTATGATTTTTAAACCAATTGAACTACAATGGCATACCAAGGGAGGGTGGGGCGGGGGGTGTGATTCGGTGTTTTAAAAAATTTTCTATTCACAACTGTAACTTTAAAAATAGATTTTCTAAAACGAAAGAGATTAATAAGAAAAATTAAATATTATTTTCCCTGATTTTTGTAAAAAATAAATAGCAAAATATTTTTTCTTTTTTTTTAATTTTATTTCTTTTTCTTTGCTAATAAAAATTAAATCCAAAATAATCTTAAATTTTTTAACTTGGACATGTAAGAAGGTAAACATGCAATAAAAAAAAATACAAAAAAAAAAAAGAATAAACATACCATAGATTTATAATGGTTCAGTCATCATTGACCTACATTAACTTCCCAAAGACCACCTCTCTGGTTATTGAATTAAACTTTTCAGTGCCTCTCATTTTGCTCCCACAATAAGGCGAAGAAGCCCTTACAAGAATCTCTTACGCCAACTCGATGAGACAGAGTAGCCGAATCCCTTTCACCAATAATGTGGCAAAGTAGCTAAATCCCTTTCACCAATGGTGCAGCGGAGTAGCCGAATCTCTTTCACCAACGGTGTGGCAGAGTTGGTGGTGGCCCTTTGACTCCAAAAGGTTCCTCCTAAAATTTTCCTTAAGTAAAACCTTGACCCTTGGAGGAAGAAGACGAATGTTGGCCAAAGTAATCATGTGTAGATTGTAATAACTCAAATATATGAAATATTTTTTTTTTCAAAAAATATGAAAATTAGGAAGTAGAGCGCTTTAGCAATGATATGGTAAGCACTATATATATATATATACAATTTAAGTGATACCTTATTGATCCACGTGATTCATTGATTGAGTCATAAGGGGCTTGATATTGATTGGAAGTTATAAGGAGTTGGTATGACTGATTCATGTGATTCAAGGAAAATTATAAAGAATACATGAATTAAGAGTTATAAGAGGTGACTAATTGGGAGTCATAAGTGCAAGAGCAAGATACCTTTAAGATATACTCATTGAATATATGGATACTAATACTAATACTGTTGTGAATATTATATGATATTGTGATTGATAATAATATTATTTACTATCAGGAACACTAGTTAACATTATTGATAATGATAATGATATTATTATTGATAATAATACTATTGATTGTTACTGATATTATGATTGATGATGTAATGGATTGAGATGTGATGAACTTACTATAGGAAAATCGCTTGTTACTGACATACAAAATCCATCGATAATAATGACAATCCACCAAAAATTATACATTTCATATGGAATATTGTTCGATGGTAAATCGTGTATCGAAAAGTCTATTCTGATGAAAATTATCCATCAGAAATATTTCTGACGTACGTACCGATGGAATTCTAGCAGAAAAAGGTCAGCATAAACTCTGTTTCCCTTGCATGAGTTCTGACATTTTATCCACCAAAATTTTTGGCAAAAATCTATTGCCAATATTTTTGGCGGAAATCTACCACCGGAATTTCCAGTAGAGTATTCGCCGGACTATTCCACCAGATATAGACTGACAAATGACGGATAATCCACCAAAAATACCGGCGATAAATTTTTGCAGAACATCGATACATTTCATCTTATCGTTGCTTCCGATAGAATATCCTCTTGGTAGATCGACGCTTATACTGGTGGATAAATATCCGACGGAAATTCCATCGATAAATGGATATTTTATTGTAGTGACTCTAGAAGGATAAATTGATACCTATAATCAATATCGACATTTATGCATATATATTTTTTATCTGATTTATAGCACATTATTCAATTTTATCATGCATTAATTTCAATTATAAGATTTTAGTTATTTATTAGGTTATGTGCTCATAACGTGATTTTAAATATTAAAAAAAAAATAATAAGAATCCTATGATATGAGGCTCCAGATAAGACAAAAATATAATTATATTTCTTTTCGTTGTTCATTGATAAGCTCTAATTAAATGATAAAAAAGCAATACACATGTGATTCTTCTAATACAAATCATGGAGTGCGACATAAAGTCTCTCTCACACACTCTCTTGATCCCACAAGGCTATTCTACCTCTCTCACTCAATAACACTTCTCTCCTCCTTGCCTAAAGCTCACATTTCAAACTCTCTCTCACAGGAGACTTAAGCCCCTAGATTGCCAAAGACTTCTCTAAATAAAATAAGAGTTGTTTAAATAGTAGGCTCCAAGAAAATTGTAATTTTTAATTTAGCCATCACTGTTCATACAGTACGATCTATCGATCTTATAGTGCGATTAGTTCAATTTTTCCTTCTATAGTACTCTACGATTAATAGTATACAGGACGATCAGTTAAAGTCTGTTAACTAATTATACTGTATGAAAGAATAGTAGTACAATATAATTAGTTCATTTCAAAATTGGATCAAACATGGTAAACCAAAATTATCTAGAGATCCCTTAGGTGATTATGATAGTAAGATTTTTGAATCGTATTGGACGAACCAAACTTTGTCTATAGATTCTTTGGGTAACTCGTACAGTAATATATTTGTATCTTACAGTATGATCAATAATCAATCAGATCTGATTTGATTGCTTAATTAACTAACCTAATTAGACAATTCTTTAAAATATTATACAATATGAAATAATTCATACAATACGAATAGTTTAAATTTCAAAATCAAATTTATTTATTTTAGATAAGTTAGTTCGATGGCGAGGTTTCTGATTATAGTTGTTCATCCAGTATGATGTGGTGTTCGTATTGTACTATTAGTTATATTACAAATTAATTTTTTTCATTTGAAATAAAATATTTTAATTAATTTCTATTTTAATAGATCATAGAATACAATTTATAGAAAAAATTAAAATATTTCTTTTACACTCCCTGTTTGTGTATGTCCATGGTTGAGAAGCTAACATACATTTTTTACGATGCATCAACTCAAGAAAGATATTTAATTTAATCTTATAATGCCCAATCTTGAACCATGATCATTTGATATAGTGCTTGGTATATTTTGTACATAAAATATTAGCCTACACAGAAAATATATGCAATAATAACAAGTATGAGAAACTAAGTAAACTCCAATAATGCTTGTAATCTTCAGAATATAAGATTGGACTCCGAGATTATAATAATTTTATTCATAAAAAAGTACATTATTGGTCTGTTAAACTACTCCCTATCCGGTCTAACCTCCAGCTCGTCGTCATCCTTATCAAATCGATTTCATCCACTCATCTATCCTCATTTCTATCCAAGATGAGCATGAAAAATATCTATGGCTCCTCGTGAGGGGGGAGTTCAAATCTTTTTAAAATTGACAAGTCAAAGACATGAACTATCATAATTCATAACCCAAAGCAGAAATTAACCCCGCAAATCAGTACAGATTCCACAACAATTTACACATTAAATATTAATGAAGTCTGAGCTGATAATGAAAACTTGTATAACAAAGTACGCATTATATATAAGCATGAAAGTGCAATTACTGTTCAATCATACCGCAAAAAACTAGTAAAGAGCTAATTAAAATTTTGTTTGAGACAACTTTCTTACTGTTTTTAAAGTAACTTTTTAGTAAAAAAATAATAATTTTTATACTAAAAAACTACTTTAAGTAGTAGTAAAAAAGTCGTCTCAAATGGAGCCTAAGCCCTTGCAGATCCAAACAGCTGAGTTGCTAAATCATATTGATTAGCTGCTATTCCAGCTTCTTCATTCTCTAAATGACCAACTAAGGCTCTGTGATTATGATCTCCTTCATACGCTATATCTATGTTATTTGGATCATTTGGTGGCCACTCCACCTTCTTCCTCGCCTTACAGTTCTTGTTCACACATTTGAAATAACTTCTGCATGCACATATTTATAAAATTTATAATGCATTATTCAAATTTATGAAATTCATAGATATGCACGTAATTATATAAAATAAAGTACGTACCTATTTTTCTGTATACTTCTAATATACTTTTGTCCATATTTTTTCCATTTGTAATCATCTTCTGGGATAATAACTAGGCCATTACCAAATGCAACAGCTCTATTTTGCTCCTGGACTTGCTCTTCATCACTATTTATCAAAATATCACGAAAATTATGAACTTAATTATTCTAAATATTATCATTGATATCTTCTGGATTAAAGCTTGATCAAAACTAAGAGTAGAAAAAGAAGTAAAATACAAGATTAAAGAATTAGTTAAAAAGCTAGCTACACTGGCCTATAATTATAAATATAACATATTTTTATTTCAGTCGCCATCCTTAATTCAACCCCACATAATTATTTCGTCTTCTTATGCTTTGGGGTTAGACTTCTTTGCTCACTTCCTTATTTTCTTTTAGTATGTTATTGTTTATTTTGTAATAGATAGGGATCTTTGGCTCTGAGGATTTTTTTTTTAATTTTTTTATTGTAGCTCTTTGAGCATTAGTTAGCTACTGGTCCCTCTAAAGACTGGTAATCTTTTTCTTAATCAACGCGTAGGACCTGTATCCCCCATCC